GGTTCCAGGGAGAGTTTTCTTTGTTTTTTTGGGAAAGGACACTGTGCGCCGCATCTTGGCAGAGGGGAAGAGAGAGCAGCAGACATTAACCACTCTTGTGGACTTTGGTGATTCCTGTGAATTTTTCTATTAGCCTTGACCGAATTGTAGAAGAAAACAATTGAGAAACCTTTTCTCCCGTATGTCTTCTACTTAGCAATCAGGAAAAGAGACAAGAGGGCCGCAATTGTTGACTTTGTATCTTGCTTTTTCTATCTTGTGTGAATTGATTGAAACAAAACCAAGCAAAGCAACCTCTCGTATGTTGTTTTTGTGAGGAAAGAAAGAAAGCAAAAAGGAAGCCGCCGTTGTTGACTCTTGTACGATTGGGCTGCACATTTGCAGGAAACTCGGATCCCTTGCTCTTGTCTTTTGCTCTTGACCAAAAGGTCAGATACGGTGACTTCGCCCGATTTTCCACGCGCGGCCTACTCTCCACTAATGGGGAACTAAACCCCTAATTCTAGCCGAGGAATCAACTGACGAATTGGTTCAACGTTTACTGTGAGATCTAAACCGTTTTTAATTATTTTCTTCATTTATTGGTATTTACATGTTCCTTGCTTTTAATCGCTATAGCCTTGTGTATGATTGATTAGTGCGCAATAGTTAATTATTCATATAGGCTATTTTGCTATATAGGGGTAATTGAATCCGTAATTGTTCGTTACCTCTATCCCAGTAGCAACTGATATAATTGGATTTATGTCAGGGGAATATATGATTTAGCTTAGATAAACCCTCGTAGCGTGTTTATTGGTTAGGATTGGGTCTTTCTAATTATTAATGCAATCTGGAAATTGAATCCTACGGTCGTACCTAGGGTTGTTTTTGGGTTAGAGAAATAGCTAACGGTCGTACCTTAGCTATCGATAAATTACGGAAGGGTTGGTTGTTTAGCGCGTGCGAGACAACTATAACCAATCTATTGGTAAATGTTGGAATTATCCATGAATCAATGATCAGTGCATGAACCATTTCTGAAGTATACCCTTGGCTAGAGTTTCTCTCATTTATTTCTTTTAATTAATTCTTTTCTGCAGTTAATTTGTTTAGTTGGCATTCGATACCAAAACCCCCCATTAATCTTGACTTCAAAAGGAAACAAATATCTCTCCAGTCCCTGAGGAGACGACCCTGCTTACCACTGTCTACTAGTTAGGGACTTCAGTTAAATAATTAATTCAGGTATATCGGATTAAGCAAACTCTTCGGGAACAGGGTGAATCAAGTAACCCATTGCACACCTAGAGTCCCTGCTCCAGTACTCGAATTGACTATTGACTGCTTTAGGTGGTAGTTAGGCTTTATTTATTATTATTGCACAGGTTCGGCACCTGTCACATTTCTTCTTCAATTTTGGGTAGTCATCAATTATTTGGTTCTCTACTTAATGCTCATGCACTTCATCTTTAATTTCGTGCAAGCATCAATTATTTGATACGTGAGATTCCCATGTTTTCGTATTGTTATAGATGTTGAGTAAGCCTATATGCAAGTCTGATTTCATTGGCAATTTACAACCACATAATCAAATTTAGTTAAAGTCCCAATCTATTGCAGATCAAGTCGTTTTCATATAACACTAGTTTTTTAGCCCTGACGCATGGCGTCAGGTAGCTGAGACTCATTAATTATTTTGCTGTTATGTTTGTGTGTTTTTTTTTTATTTGTTAGATATAATAGTCATGTGTGTGAGTGTATGTTTTTTCCTAATTACACAAATAAATATGGTTTTGAAATCAGGTTATCTTACATTCTTAATATAGCATTAATCAGTAAGTAGTACCTAATATTAGGTAGAACTAAAAGGCATATGACTATACATGTAATGTGTAGCCTTGCTTATTAGTTGCGTTGCTTCTCTAAGACAAGCAATTTGACAATTTCCATTTTTTTTGACACTTTCTATTTGCTAGTACTTCACATTTAACAATCTTTTAGAAGAAAGAAATAAAGAAAAGCAATTATAAAACGGGTTTGTCATTTTCTTTTGTTTGCTAGACTTGAATGAGCATTCAAACATATTTAAAAATATTTTCAAACCAATGTAAAATTGAATTAATATTTTTTGTATATTCAGTGGCTTTTTTGTTTTACACTAATAGGTCTATATTCATGACACATAATTTTTATTCAACTCTATCCCTCCATGACCTCGGTTTATATATACTACCATGTCTCCTAATCAGGGTTTCATATTGGATCCTATTCTTTTTGTTGCAATTCAGATGATTATTTGATTGATAGATTAAAAGTGTTCAAGAGTGGAGGGAGCGACAGTGGTTTTTTTGGACAAGATATCATCTATTGAAAATGAGCATAGGACTCTCAATATTGAACAAGTTTAACTTGCAAGGGTGAATATACATATTTTCTTATTTTCCTTCTTTCTTCCCTTTTTTAGGCTGTCTGTTTCCTTTTTTTTTTTTTTTGAGATTTTGATGATTTTGGTTTTGATAATTTGTATTTATTGAATCTTTTTTTCATGCTCAAAAGAAAAAAAATTGGACCTACTGTAAAAGTTCAAAAATTATAATCCATTTCTTAAGTCTCAATATTGAACAAGTTTAACTTGCAAGGGTGAATATACATATTTTCTTATTTTTCTTTCTTTCTTCCCTTTTTTAGGCTGTCTGTTTTTTATTTTTTTGGAGATTTTGATGATTTTGGTTTTGATAATTTGTATTTATTGAATCATTTTTTTCATGCTCAAAAGAAAAAAAATTGGACCTACTGTAAAAGTTCAAAAATTATAATCCATTTCTTAAATTGCATTTTTTTTTAAGAAAGAAACTTTTCAAGACATTTCTTAAGCTGCCAAAGAAACTAAGAAGAAGAATAGAAGCTAAGAGAAAAGAAAGAATATTGCTGACGCAACCGCCCACTAACTAATAGCAATTGTTGACTACCAAAATTGAAAGCCACGTGGACCTGCAAAGTTACAATCGAAGAGAGCCAGCGGACGGAAGCAAAATGCCAGCAGAGCCACTGACACCCATCAACAAAAGACCAAAACGCCCCTCAAGATCGCACAAATAACGGCATAACCGGTCCATCGGCACTGTTCACAAGCTATTCGTGCTTTATATATGTAAGATATGGATATAACTAGAGACAATTTTCAGTGTTGTAAAAAATAAAAGTGTTATCAAACATAAGACTTTCATGCTCGAGACTGGTTTGAAGACACCTTGCTTATGATACCCCCTCTCCCTCTTCTCATTGTAAGGGTACATCCAATGGGTACCTTAGGCAGTCAATCAATTTTCAATATCGAAAGACGAACTTGGGCTCGTGTAAAGTATAGGGAGCTCAAATTCAAACTCGAATGCGCTCAAGAAGCAAATTGAGATTGAGTTTATGCTCAAGTTCGAATAGTAAGACATAATTTTTTTAAAAAAAAATAGATTTTTAAGTAATTTAACAATTATGAAAAAATAATAGAATATGAAACTTGAAAAGCTCGACGAGCTTTCATGCAGGATACCTTAAGACTCGAGTTCAATTCGATGACCATATTCAAGCAGCTCAAGCATGAATCCAATTGTTGCTCCCAAATTACTTGCTCGTTTGTCACCCCTTTTAATTGAATAAACAATTATACGCAAAAGCTATCCTTTAGGGGGAAAAAAAATCTATCATTGACTCTATTTCTTGCAAACTCAAATGCAATGATTTAACTAATCAGATCTAACCAAAGTTGTTTTTAACTTAATTTCGCGCTCCATGTTAGTTGTAATATCATGTACTTGCCTGAAAGCTGTTGAATAAAATCCAACAACAAAGCTATCAAAACTTTATGCAGGACGAGAAAGCAAAAAAATAACACATATTCAGCTTGTACCAAGGAGAAAAAAGAAAATAAGGACACGGTCTTAAGCGGTTAAAGTATGGAATAAGACGTAAGTACTTACGTCACTCCCGAAATCCAAAATATTTTGTTTAGGTCCGCAGGATTAAAGCTAGAACAAGTCCGTCCGTGGAAAACACCAAGTAAAGTCCGGTATTGAAGTCCGCCAACCTATATAAATAGGTAGGGAATTCAACTTTCAACTTTCAATTCAACTTTGGCAACTCAACTTATCGAAGAAACCAATTGTCTTGTAAAATTTTCTCTCATGTCTAGTGAATGAAGAGAGAGAGAGAGAGAGTAATGTGCCAAACTTATCTTGTACAACAATCTCTTCATTAATAGAAGAAGAAGTTTTTTTCATAACTTTTCATACTTTTCATCTGAGTACGCTTAGAGATAAGAAACGAAACTAAACTGTGTTGCAAAACTCTGAAACGGCCCTTAAAGGAAGTCACCCTGGTGGTGGTTGGAGGCTGCAATGCCCAAGTAAGAAGTCCTCGGGGAGGTAGCCAGAATTTTGTCGGTCAAAAATCAGATTTAACATATGAAAGTGTGTTGAACTCTTTTTTTTTGTTAATAAGAAATTGTTAATTTAGACGTGATATGCGCTCTATTCTCTAGTAAATTTTATTTATGGAAGATACGTCAAACCTGTTTAGTACCTTATCAATAAATATAATACATCCTGAATGCACTTTACAAATAAAAATATCTTTTACATCAAAAGTCATAAATATAAATGTCATGTTAGCCAACCCAAACTTTGGGCACCAAATACTTAAAGGCTCGAGCTCGATTTGATGACCATATTTGAGTAGCTTGAGCTCCAATAGAATTGTGATTGAACTACTCACAAATTGCTTGCTCGTTTGCCATTTAATTGAGTAAACAATTATACGCAAAAGCTATCCCTTTAAAAAAAAAAAAAAATACCTATCATTGACTCCATTTCTTGCAGACTCAAACGCAATCATTTAACTAATCAGATCTAACCAAAGTTGTTTTTAACTTAATTTGCGCGCTTCACGTTAATCGTAATATCAGGCACTTGCAAGACCTCCAACGCGGGCAATTTCTACCTTAGGTAGGGACTAGGGATTGAAGATTGTATCTGAATCTGTCCAATGCATTTCAATTTGATTAGATTCTCACAATTATTTCCTCAACTGAATGATTGATAAACTGGACTTATTGTTGCATCCTACATGTTTTAAGGCTACTGATCATTCCAGCCAACAGCTGAATGCTGAGGGGAGAAAATTCCCAATTCTCAACCCACGAAAAGTGACCTCTATATTACAAGGAGGACCAAGTAGAGCTTGAAGACAACAACAACGGTGCACAATTGGAGACATAGGTTAATAATTCTCGACGGCTTTCCAGTTCCAATTCACGCTTAGGATATGCTTATCACCTCGTATTCATGAGCTATTTGAAGAGGTGATTGATTTGAAACAGGCCTTTGCTCAGACCAAAGCTCTAGATTAACAGTTCCAGTACCCCAATGTACGAGACACTTGAAGACTTCATTCTTGTTGAACCGGTTGACTAATGCCAAGCGGAGGCATTTATCTACAAGCATCCATTCTCCTGCACACCATGATATAGAGACAGATCAGACATAGACCAAGCGTGACAGAATACAGGTCAGAAGAAGCTTGATATTTTCTCTACAGGTTTCTCCTGCAAAATTGGTCCAAAATGGTTTGATGAAAAACTTGATTTATAAGCAGTATTACAGGAATTTCGATAGCTATAGATGCAGCTCTGATATTGTATTTCCACTAAACTGAATAGCCTAATCAATCTAGCTACAGTTGCTCACTCAAAGAGCATGCTTCTTTTGATGAAGAAATTGTATAAGATCCTCGTATTAATCAAAGTGAAACTTCCTGTATAACTTTAATCAAGAAATAACACCTTTGAAGCCCCATTCAGAATGATATTAAAATTGAAAATTCAGCTCCTTTATCAGTAAGTTCATTAGAATGCAGACATATTTCTTTCCTGACACACAAATTAGCCAAATGAAAACACAACTAAATACCCAGTCAGACCTCGGATCATCCTGACATAGAGTTTCCCCTATTCTCTACTTTCCCTGGTCTTCACTTGGTAAGAATTACTTCTTTGACTTGAGATGATAAATGATCAGAATACAAAAAGGGAACAGAAGAAACTTGAACCAATACCACTATGTGTAATGATAACCAAAATGACATGAAAGTCTCAACATTTATTCCTTGGTGAAAACTTGCTTTGAGATTTTGTATGTTGATACGTGAACAGCCACCTAAAGGCGTCTCACGTTTACCAATTCTATCCACTGATAAACAATCATAACACCATCTAAACTTGAGATGGTTCATTTTCTAGTTCGATTTGCATGTGTTGATGAGCAAAAGTTGGCTGGCGTGAAAGAAGGAAATCTTGGAGAGTGTAAATCAGGCAACTCAGTATCAAAGAATGCAAATCTAAGTTTTGAAGATACAAGCAACAATGAAACAAGAAGAAAAAGATCCACATGAAAAGTCACATGGATACTTTTGGTATTGCTACTACGAAGCTGTATATTTTGACCTTTTTGATATTTAAGCATTGAATGTAACAGAGAGGACAGAAGTTCTTACCATTTGGGAGAAGATCCCCCTCAAAATACTGCTCCCCAGACTCTGGCCAGATTTCATGCTTGGACCCATCGATGGAGGTAAACTCCACATATGATTCAGTTGGATGGAACAATGAAAAGCTAGGATGCACTCGCAAGCATACAAGCCTACAGAAAAGTAATTGCAGATGCTATAAGTGATTGGAAAAGAATACGAAAAGGTAAGCACAAAGAGGAGACAGAGGGAAAGGAAAGAAAGTTGCAAGCACGAAAATAGCACTTTTAAACTACTGAAACACAGTGCACCTGTACCACCCTTCCCCAGTGCCCAAACAATTTTAGAAAACAAAGAGAAAGAAAAATGCATTGTGAAAGCTAAAAGGTTGAGAGCTTCAAGTTTCATTTTGGATTGCTTTTTAAGTCGATCAAACAAGAAGATTGCCAAATACTTCAACAAAACTCACATAATGCAGAAAGTATGCACCACAAGCATTAAAAGTTCATAGACAACTAGGCACTATGGTGTTTAAAATTGGTTTTGGCTTGGTGAATTGGTAATTTGTTAAATCAACAGTATCAGAGAACACAATTGCCAGAATAGGACAATCACTACCCCTATATGCATCCCCTGAAAAATGAAACTAGAGGCTGCTTAGAGTACTGAAGTTTATTGCTCACTATCCAAAACATTAACAGTAGTAAACACATTCCATGAAACTGCTTGGTTATCTTAAATCACATTTCAAAATTTTCCATCAGAATAGATTACTAATGACCATCTCACAAATCACAATGCTTCAAGGATACTCAAATTAGCATGCAATTAGTGACAGACATTTTGCATAGCACTTCTTGAAAAGAGATATCAAGAAGAAGCTTCAGAGGCCAATACACATCATGTGCCCTTTTGCCCTTCCCTCTAGGAATTCAGTTACAAAAGGCATCCCCACTTTTGTATAGAGCTTGCAGCATGCCAAGCCAAGCCCTGATAAAGTAATTCACTTTGCATTCGAAACTACATACTCCATTACAAGATCTGAAGTGTATCTTTTTGTTAAACTTTGGTGTCTACATGGCCTTAATTCCGGTCAATCTCATACTGAACCCTGATCTTTTGGTTATTAATTAAATTCTCAAAGATTAGTCAATTTAAGGGATACCATCAAGTCTTCATAATGATCTAAGTTCCAAGTAGTCATTAACTAGATCTGGATGTGGTCTATTTAAACCATTATTAAGCACCCCAAGCTGTGCACAGAATTTCTTTCCTTGTATTCTCTATTCAGAACCTAACAATCGAGATATTATTACATTCAAGGAGCCTGAAGCACAATCATAAATCAAATAGAAAGAATTATAAAAGAGAAAAAACCCCAACGCCAAGAATATATAAGTCCTGATAAAAGAAATTGTAATACTAAAAGATTAGAATTGCCAAAACACATTTTGCAAATATTAAAAAAAAAAAAAGAAATGCCTGACTATTCTCTAAATTCGATTCTTTTATGAAAATTTTTGTTGAAAGAACATACATAGATATATTTTTACTTATCATTAATATTACCAGACTCAATACACAACATTTTTTTGAATCAACAAAAAAATTATGGATAAATCCATTAATAAAGCAAATCAAGAAAGAATTAATAAAAAAATAAAATACTTTACTCTATTTCGACTTTAAAAAAATCAATTGATACTATTAACAATAAGACAAATTCACGTAGACAAAACTTTGTAATCCCCTTTCCTTCTTTTAATTGATATAGCCCCCCTTTTTCTCATAAGATGAGGATGCTACGTTGGGACTAGTTGGGATAGCTCAGCTGGTAGAGCAGAGGACTGAAAATCCTCATGTCACCAGTTCAAATCTGGTTCCTGGCACATGATTAATTTGCACAAGTCCCTCTTGTATAAATTAATTGATATGAATCAACATTCATATTTATAGTTTAGATCATAATAAATACATTGTTTTCCACTTCAGCGAGATATACCCCATCTATTTTATAGATGGGTAGAATTTTTTATTTTTAGATAAGTTATCTAAAGAATTAGACCAGAAGAAATTTTGTAAATTTCATCAAGAGGTTCATCTCATGCAATTAAAGGACACCTTCCCAGCAATAATAGGTGAAGCAGATCTAACCTTGAGTATCCTCCCGATCCAGCACCAACTTTCCGAGCTACAATTCCAGACTCAATTCGGAAAACTTTAGGGTCATCTTTTGAGAAGGATATCTCCCTCTGAAGAACTAATCCACCACCGATGTCACCTTCTAGCTTAAGAGATTCAATTTCCCCAGACTGCTCCAGATCCCGCCTGTAAAAGAACAATATTTCCATAAATCATTTATGCAATAACTGGTAGTTCAATTCATTTTTGAAAATAACTACATAAAATAACATGACTCCAGTATTGCATAGCATTCATTGATACGGTGTAAACTATGCTTTGCAAAAACAGTTTCCAGTACAAACACAAACTTTGAATAGGATAAAGTACAAAGCGTCATAGAATCTTTGCAATTTCTTATGTAACATGAGATTCAAGTAATACCTCACAAAAGATACTATCATGAATTTGTATTCAAACTAAACTACCAAACAAATTCACACAAAACTGCAAATCAGGAGGAGAAATAATTATCTTAGAGTTCAGCTTTGAGGTAAACTTGGAGCGAATACAACACTAGCAGCAATGTCATTCCCCTTGAGACAATGTTTCCTTTTTCTTGCATCATCAACATGTCAATGACAACTTTGGCTCTTTAATCAGCAAATGGTCAAACTGTCGTTTCCAATAAAGCTATATTTTTACTCTCTTAAGAAAGCAAATGATTATCATTGGCTACTATGTTCTGCTTTTACCAAATTGACCTACATGATTGATTCAATTCAAGCCAGTTGTTTGCTGTGCGATCAAACTGTAAAAAGGCTTTGCCACATAACCTAATCTTCATCACATCCTAATGGAGTTTGTTGGATTTAATTATACTGGAAAACTAGAAACAACCTTTATAGATGACAGCATGTACAACTATAAATGCAGTTGCACAATTATTCATTAACTCACTCAATGACAGAGTACTCCTCAGTACATCCAGCAGATCGGTATTCAGTGCCACTATACTCTTCATAGCCACTAATCTCAACCCTACTGTGAAGCCACTGAGTTCCTGTCATGAAGCCCAAGCAAAATAAGATGGCTGAATTTTTACACCCTAACAACTCATGGATATTATCTCTGAAGTCGAGCAATATGGATAGGCACGGCAGATCCGAGTTAATAGAGTTGTTTCCTACCTGGCTTCTAACACTTACTGTTTTTGCAATACAAGAAGCTATGGCATTCCTACCTGAAGGACCATGCTCCATTGAAATAATTCTACCACCAATCCAAGGAACAACTTTAAGAACCCAGTCTCCACTTTGCAGAACAATAGGAGTCCTTGATAGCTCTGCACCTTTGTGGCCAGGAACATTATCCGCATCTGGTATCCTTTTAGCACTCTCTGCAAATTTAACAACCAATTCAGAAATCACATGGCAGTGGAAGATATTCACAACATTTTTAAATTTACGCGTCAACACCTATCAGGCCAATCAGAGTGTAGCAACATGTGTCTGTTTTTACAGACAGTAACATCAGACAGAGTACTGCATGGTCTTTAAGAAGGTCCATACAGAATTAAAGGTTGTCATGCTTATTCATCTATGTCTGAAAATGATGCCAAAAGGAAAAAAAATGAAAAATGTCAAGCATTTGATTTCTTGTATTTCCTACAGACAAAGTATGAACTCACGGTTAAGGTGGTGCAAAGCTGCCAGCTTTTGAGGAGGCACTTTTTTGTGTTTCAAGTGCCTTCCATTTGAGCATTTTCCATGGTGGATGATGTCAGCCAGATATTCAAGTCATACTTAGTCAAAGATTCTTACACTAAAGGAGGCGGTTTCAAAAAGGACAAGAGTGTAGAGGTGGAGGAGACCAAAAAGGTTGTCTTAATGGTAAAGGTGTTAATTGCACTCATTATAGGGGATCGTAAATTTCAAAACCTAAGCTCAGCAATCATAATAACATCAAATGTCAAAATAGGCTTGCAATTAGCAGAATCATAATTTTTTGGCCATGCTAGCAGCTATCCAGTCATCAAAAGCTTGGAATGATGTATAAGCACCAGCATGAGTGTCAGTGACAAGCTAATATGACTATTGTGGTACATTTGGTCATTTTAATCTGCTTTAATTCTTTTATGAAATATAAGACTAAGGTTGTAAAATAGCTTGGTAATGTATAAACAGAATTACATGCATCCATCATACAACATAAACAAGCAGTCCAAGCCATAAAACTACTCCTCAATATGAATGAATAAATATAAAGAAAAAAGAACACCAAACTTGTGCATTTTGTACGAAAAATTAAAACATTACCCATGTGACTTTTGTGCCGTTTTTCACTTGCTAACACCATATTTGACACTTCATTTTCTGAAGGCAACATAATTTGCATAGTTTCTCCATCGGTGCCCCACGCTTCAAGCTGCTTGAACGTGCAAATACACAATAAATTTTCTAAAAGCATTCCAGATTGAAGAGATCCTAGCAACATGACATAGTAACATTGAGTTCAACAGGCAGGATACACACCATAGAACCTCTGCCAAGCAATAACTTCACTTGTAAGTGACGATTTGGCCTTTTCCACAAGCCATCAGTTTTGGAAACACTAACTGTGACAACTGATGACTGGAGTTCGGCAACATATGTTGTTAAAAGATATTCCCCTCTACTATACTCATAGCCATCTCCAGCATCCTCAAAAAGGACACCTTCAGCTTTACCTGAAAGTTTCAAAAACTAGATCTTAGTACCACGTGGATGCTGCATATTCCACTTGTCATAGCATCCAATATTAAGAGAGAGTTATATTCTATTAACCTAAGAAGATTTATAAGGTTGACCAGAAGAAGATATAGCTCCTGAAAGATTGCCACCACATATAATGCTTAAGCCACAAAACCTCAAATTTCAGATTCTTTCAATAAAACCTTCAGAAAAGCACTAGTGGAATTCAATTCCTTGTTGCATGGTTGGCAAATCATCCTTCACCAATCCTTTATGTGCTAGTTTCATATTTTAAATATTCTAGGCTTGTCAAGTTTTCATCAACTTCTGCTTCAATGTCAATTCTCAGTTTCATTAGAGGAGCAACAGTTTACTTCCTTCATAGGAGAAATCCACATTACCATCAGATTCAATAAATTTCCATATTTTAGTGCCAAGAATACATGCACAACCTAAGTGTCTGCGATTTGGAGAGACAATTAAAAACCAAAATTGAGAAGAAAATGACAGAATGACCAATTTGACATTAGGAAGTTGTGGGAAGTTATACTAGCCAAAAGGGCATTGGAAAAAAGTATAAAAAGTGCTACACTGGGAGTGATTTTCATGCTTTATTAAAGTAGTAATGAAGTGCAATATCTTTAAATAAAGCTAGAGTAAGGGGATTTGAGTATTAAACTTTCATTTATGCCTCATTAAATGTTTATTACTAAAAATCTACCAAGGATAAACCATTAACTCATTATAATTCCCAATAACTTCTATACTTTTTTTTAATCAAATTTTTCCTTTAGTTTTAACACAGAGGGTGTGCCTTTCTCACTAGTAAAACATGATATTTCTTTCTCCATCAAAAATTTCGGAGGATAGGATAAGAAACTTCAAAGAGAAAGAAAATCAGATCAAAGGATAATCAGACCATAAAAGTTCTCTTATTATTGTGGGGACTGCAAGTGCATGTAACAATGCAAAGAAACAACCACATGTTATTTGCCAATGATCTCTTGCATAAGAATAAAAATTGTCAAAAAAAATCTTTATGGGAGAAAGGTAAAATCTTGACTGTTCTATAGCGGATGGAAATACAATCCATTTGAACAGTGTTCAGTCATTGTCTACAAAATTAAGTGAACCGAAGTATTGCCTCCCTTACAATTGAGCTAAACTACTTTATATTACTTTTTTGACAAACCTGGGGGACATAAAACTACTTAGCATAACCAAATTTTATGCACTCTTAAGAATTTGTAATGGAAGCAATACATAAACAACTGCATTTGCCACAGGTAACCCTGAAATAAATCCATCTCCAAATTTTTATATGTTCCAAAAACCCAGGTTTTGAAAAGTCAATGCTCTGCAATTAAAAGAACTATCTTATCCAAGGAACAGGGAGAAAAAAATCTAAGCTGCTTCAAGGATCAACTAAATAGCTGGATAGTCTGGCAGGACACCCAACATGGAGATACAAAATGAGAAAATTGCTCAACTTCACAAAGTTTCCAACTCCATAAAGAACATGAAACTTAGGCATGGACAGTATTAAAAATCCATGTTGAGGCATCTCTTGTTTGAGGTGGTAAATCAAGAGAAGTTTGAATCTCAAGCATACCACTATATACAAAAGCATAACAAAATAGACCAATCAAATAATTACTTCTTAATATTTGTATTTTGCAAAATCTTTTTCACGAATTGCAAATTACCATGTTCATCTAAGGCGACAAGAAGGCACAAGTCATCTGTAAGATTAGCTTCGCCAACATGTTGATATGGAGGACCAACAGGGATGATTGATCCACCTTTTAGATACAACGCTGGTAAGTCCTAATAAAATCATAAAGTAATGAAACAAGTGGTGAGTCAAAGCATCACAGACTATCAAAAAGGCCAGACATGTTTCAGATGATAAACAACAAATACCGGATGTGAATCTTCGAAGTCAAAACTCAACCAAATGCCTTTAGGCAACCTCAGCTGTGTTTGATCCAATTCCTGGTCACGCTGAGTGCTGCATACGATCAACTTCAACGTTACAAATTTTTTTACAATTAAGCTAAAGAACAGTGTAATTGATCAACATTACAAATAAAGACAAACAATTAAAGAAGAGAAGATAAAGGATGATAAATAATCGACAATTAATATTAGTGCAGTCCTCCTAGAAAAGTAAACTTTGAGTACTGAAAGAAAGGCATGCCTCAGCTAGATATTATTAGAGGGATAAGCATAATTAAACAGGATTTCCAAAAAGAAGAAACCTGAAGGGTCAACCTAACCCAAGTGGTAACAAATTCATTAGTAGTTCCATTTTAATTTCCTGACCAGTCAAGTCCACCTTTAAACTCTAGCATTGCCAAGGCTGGTTGCAGCTCTTATCCTTATTTCACTGACCGCATGCTTAATTTACAACCTTACCAAAGGCAAAACCTATTTTCCCATAATTCCCAATCCGTTTCTTCTTTTTGACTAAGCAAGCTCTTATGCATGATATGAAAGCATTAGAAGTTTTCGTAGTTCTTAGCTCCACACACCCAATAAGTCCCTTCAGTCACTAATTTCCAGAGTTCTGGATATACAATTATACACTAAGCCAAGTACGAGAAACACAATGACTAGCAGAAAGTAAAGACAATTGTACAACCACATGGTACAGCAACTCTGAAGATTAAAAGAAAACCTGGCTAATATGAGAAGAGGCCCCAGCATAAATGAATCTTCACGGGTTCTTAGCTTGGGGTCTTCTGGATCTGCACATAGAATGCAAGAATTTATGATTCAGAAGACTTTGGAGAATAAATATTTTACTAACATGAGGACGAAATAACTGATGATAACAAGAATTTACCGGCAAAAAGAATGGGAGTTGCCACAGGTACACCCTTTGTATGAGCCACATAAAACAAGGTGTATATGTGTGGCAAAAGGCGGTATCTTCTCTTTAGTGCTAGACGGCAAACTTCTTCACACTGTGAGAGTAAAAAGTTCACCAGAATACACGGTAAGTATTAGAGATTCCGAAACTCAAGATCACAAAAACAAACTGAATTCAGGATTGGCAAGCAAGTAGTGTTTGTATAGGTTCAAAACCCATTCTCCGCATGTAAGTTTAACTCCTCGGTAAAAAAGAGTCAAAACCTAACTGGACTGAGAAACAGATTGAGTATATGCATCCTTTTTCTTTTCTAATCGGTCTTTGCTCCCAATATATTTCACCTCCCGCCAGAATACAGAAGGATACTCCTCAAAAGAATAAGACTCTATCATGTCTTCAATATAACTTCACACGGTCACCACCAGGTCTGTCATTAATCAGCTTCTACTTTTATCATGCTGGTTATCTTTCATCTTTTTCTTACACAATATATGCTTAGTATATTTACTGCAGCCAGGGTAGCAATCCATGTCCAATTGAAAAATGATAAGATTCTTACAGTTTTGGAACAACACCTATTCAAAGTGTCTACAACCATATGGAAAAGATCAGTGCTTTCAGTAATAAATATAAGAAATTGGGCCTGGGCTAATCCAACAAATATTAAAAAATGCCCTGTAGAAAGATCTAAGTATACCAGAATGAATAAATCATGGTCTTGAAGTCTTAAAAGAGTAAATGGAGCCATTATTTCACAACAGAATAAAGGAAAATTCTTATTTTGGCAGAGATTCAATAGTATCATTCTAAGAAGCAAGGCGGCTGCTTCAAATGAGAAGAAAATAATGGTAAATTTGACAACATATTCATTCATAGGGCACTGAAAAATGCATAAAATGCCCTAAAAATTGAATGAAGACTCACACTAAACCTTGCCAAGGTAAATTGAGTACTGAAGATATCAAGCAAGGACAAACTTCACCAAAAGACCAAAGGGCACTGAAAAATGCACAAATGCCCTAAAAATTGAATGAATACTCACACATAAACCTTGCTAAAGTAACTAGAGTTCTGGAGATATCAAGCAAGGACAAACCTCCTCACCAAAAGACCAAGGTTCGTGATCGTTGGTATCAGCCTCAGAATGCCCACGACAGAATGGAAACAAGGACCCAATACCCATCCACCTTCCAAAGAGTTTCGGCGTTGCATTACCAGCAAATCCACCAATATCTGGCCCTGAAAGTGGCTGACCACTGAGCCCCTGTATTTTAAGTTGCCTTAGGTATAGCAGTTAAACATGATAAGACAAGTAAACATCACCACTTTTGACCGAAAAGAAATATAAAAACACAATGGGTTTAAACAGATATGCAAAACCATAAAATCTAACTTCAATCAACATCAGGTAATTCAGAACAAAGAGAAAGGCAGTACATTTTTTGAACTTTACTCCATAATCAGAAAGGAGAAAACAATAGTCTGAGTTTGAGAAGGGAACTAAGTATTACCTATACATTCATAAAGCCAGCTATTGATGAATTATTTAACATAGTATCTGTATTGAACGCATGTTATTATTTCAAGGATGAGTATTCATAAGAGCAGCAGCATTGAATGGTACATATTTTCTTATCTATAGCGAACAAGAGAACATTTGAAGATAGAACTACTCCATGACACAAGTTTAAAAAAAAAAAGATGAGCTTTCATCTAATAAAAAGAAATGGAACAGTATCATTTAGAAGAATAACAAACTTATGTTAAATCTCCAACATACAAGGTCATTTGAAATTATAACTAGTAGAAGTGACATCTTGGGGCAGATCTAAAGGTTGTCTGGCTTAGATGGTTTATATATTTTAAAAATCAGAATGCAGCTCACACTAAACTGGAAATGAAATATAAGAACACATATTCTAGGCGAATGGATTAAGTTGACCAATAAGTTGCAAGATTATGCATATGTGCATGCATAAGTCTAATTCTACTTAGCTAGTATGAAAATAGAATGGTAGGGTGAGACAATGAATTTCCATATATTAAGATCTATTACCCTGGCATCAAATGTACAAGTTTACCAGCTCTTTAGTTGGGTTATTGGATTCCTTTTAAGCAAAAACTCGAAAACCTTTACTCAGAAGGCAAAGCAAAGTGCAATGCATTTTGCCACCATGAAATCTCTAGGCAGCTTGATATTTCTAGGGAGATCAGTGACCAGCCAAACCCTGCTAAGAGATGGGCTATCGAGTGGATCGAATGCATGACAAGAATTGATTCAGAAAATGTCATTTAGAATGTTTACTAAGATAAATGCTATGTTTCTTTTTTGTTGACAGGTTAAATATGTATCAATAGCCAGACAGTGCTTACAAACAAAGAAACAGGCGTGTGGAATAAATTTATCAGACATAGAATCCAAAGCCTGATTATTTTTCTGTCAATTACCAATTGAAGAACCATGGAGATGCTCATGTCAAGGTGTTCCCAGGTGGAAACATTGTCTCCTGTCCATGTAGCAGCATATCTTTGACTACCTACAAATCCAGCTCTGGTAAGAACAAATGGACGTCTATTTTGATCAGCTAATTTCATGCCTTCATATGTGGACCTTGCCATCAGCATGCCATAAACCTAAAATGCATGACAAGTATAACCAAACACATCAGAATAACCAGTAGCCGACAACAAAAAGCAAACAGATTCAAAAGATTATCCAACTGTTAAAATATGTCAGCTGTAGCACATTAAATAAGACTCTGAAGCATAGTTCTCTCATGTAACATAGAGCAAAATAAGGAGAACGAGGAATCATACATTGTGATAATGTGAGTGAATCTGGCAACCTCCGAGTTCATCATCTCCCCTGTGAATGTTGTTCTCAGGCATTGTCTTTGTTACAGTCTGCAATGAGAAATTATTAGGCAAGCAAAAGATGAGAGGACATACTGAGAGATCACAAACCTCACCTTGAAAATAGCTGGTTCATTCATATCATTCCAAATACCATCTACACCATTGGCGGTGAAATCTCTAACAAGATTAGCCCACCATGAGCGGGCTTTTGACTGAGTGAAATCTGGAAATACACAAGGGCCAGGCCATACTTCACCTAAAAGCAGATGTAGCATGTAAAAATATAAAATAGTCGGAAGACCAAACAAAGGCACAAAAGCTTCAAGAAGAACAAAGGTGAAATTCATATATTTACCTACAAAAGGCTTCCCATCTGCAGTCTGAATCCAAATATCTTTTTCTGAACCACTATCATAGACAAAATAACCTTTTTCAAATTTAATCCCTGGATCAAGCATCCAGATCGCTTTGAAACCATTCTGATGAAGACTGTCAACCAGACATTTGGGATCAGGGAATTGCTCCTGAACCAAAATAAAAATAGTCCACATAATTCAAACTTAGGAAGCAGGACGAGGTAGACTCCAATAAAATTTGATAACAAAATAATGAGCCTATGCATGTCAGGATGATGAAGCATAATTACAACTGTTTGCATTACTCATTTCTATGTTTTTATTCTCTTCTGTAAGATCACAGAAGATACAAGTCCATCTGCCCATAGGTATCTGTGTTTTGGCTATCTTTAGACTGCGGAAGTTCTACAAATATTGCCAACTCTGTGTTTATTAAATCCCCAGAACAACAAAGAAATTTAGCAAAGCTGAAGGCGAAAGAAAAAAGTGACGCAGCATAAGATTTATCACTAATGAATATCTTATAATCCACTGTCCAGAAAGTTATAGATCTCAGAGTCACAGCAGCATTAGAAAGTTATAGTTGACCAAGAAGGAATGTAAACAACAAACAGTGAATCCATCGTTTGTAACAAGCAAAGAAGGAGGACTTGCCTTGTCAAAAGTGAAACAGCGAAAACCATCCATATAGTCTATATCCATCCAAATTACGTCACAAGGAATATTTTTCTCCCGGAATGTCCTTGCGATCTGCAGTGTATTGTAAAGGGAAAAAAACAAGGAGCACAAAGTTCAGGAGGACAGGACCGTAGAGTTCAGAAGCTGTCTGCAACTATTTAACTCGCACAATAATAACAACTTCCAATTTGATTAAAGCAAAGAAATCTGCAGATGTGAACTTGCACTGCACTGATTATAAAGCTTCATAAGGAAACCACTGATTAAATACCTAAAACAAACATAAATAGATGTATATGAAAGTGCTAAATAAGAACATTGTACAACAACAAACAGGTAAACCATGTAGTTTAGGAAAGAGTAAAATAAACAAACCTCACGAACTCTTGCATCTGAGGCATAGCTCCAACGGCATTGGTGATAACCCAACGACCATTTTGGGGGCATAAATACAGTGCCTATGAGCAAAATGCATACTTGAATTACTAATACTTCAGGAATAAGAAGGAGAATATGATAAGATAAATAAAGTGGAATCATGAAAAAAGTCTAGGCATGTTAAGGCAAATCCAAAGGTGGCATTTACAGGAGATTTAGAAATAGTAACACATTATAAATCCAAGGAACTCCTATATGATGGAAAGCATCACAAACCATTCACTAAAAGATTTTAGAGCTAAATATTACTACAGAACTTTCTATGATAATCACTCCTTCAACAGCTGAACATCAATCAGGTGGGACAACATAGTTAATTCTACAATAGGCCCTCAAATTGCACCTAACACACTATCATTTTATAGCTTCAGTTGCATTGTCACTGAACCACAGTGATGCAGTGCAGATTACAGATATCAAGATTTTGCAACACAAAGAGATTAAAAGAAGGAACACAGATCACAGGTATCAGATAGAAAGATTTAATTATATTCATGGAAAAATGTCTACAAGTCTAGAAACAAAAGAGAGCATGAGAAGGAAGACCAAGATAAATTTGAAAGTGTACTAAAAAATTGATGCAATTTCTCTAGTAAAAAGGAGGAACTTTTTCGAATTCTAGTCAACTAGGAGTGTCAAGTTCATCCCCATATTTTAATCTTTGTTTTGTGACCAGATAAATCTGATGTATTGGTAATCATATTGGTGCTATCTACTAATGCTTAAAAACTTCAAGTTGGCCGCAGCACATTAAGGTATGCCATTTTAAGCATCAGATTTGTTCCTGATCTGGCAATGCAGTCCTAAATACTAATTTACAGGAAAGAAGCGCTACACGAGGGATGTAAGGTGATCATAAATTGGACAAAATTTGGAGTATTGCTTTTTTTTTATTGCATGGTCATCCATTAATCCCTCTCCTGACGTCATCCATTATGATAAAGGGAAAACAAGTTGATTGATTCAGCATTAATTGCCACCTAAATTTTGAGTTAAGCAAGAAAGACAAAAGTGAGATAAGTGAGAAAAAATACCAATTGCATGGGAGAAGGATATCAGAACATCAATTGGTGAAGCAAATGGTCCGAATGTGATAATGGGATAAGAGGGTTGAGCGATAAACTTCACATTAGATTCTTTGCGCAAATCAATCTGTTAAAACAACAGGTCTATGCCATCAAATTGAGATCCATTAATAGATATAGAAAGTACATCAGAAATGGAAACTACCTCACAACGCCTTGTCGTATCTGCAAGTACCCCAATTGCCCCTCCATCGGGAAGGACAGCAAGCACCCAAGGATGTGATTGGTACAAGGAGGTGGTTCCAGCTCCATAACCCCATGCATCAGTGTTCCACGAAAATACCTAGAAGTCATGGATTAATTTTCATCTAGGGTGCATTTAAAAATATAGCCTGAAGAAAACCAAATAAATTGACATACCCGCTTTCCTGTTCGTTCAAGCTGACCACTAACCTCTCCTGTTCCGTAGAAAGATGTACCATATGGAAACTAAATCATGAAAAGATTCACTTAGGTCATTCTTGATTTTTTTGGATAATGACGTAATTATCAAATGAAAGAGCACGGATGGAAAGGCAAACTTACAGAAGATTTGCAATACGTAACTTACCTCAATCTTAACAATCTGCTGTCCAAGAACACAAACAAAAGTAGGAATATATGATGGAACTCTATGATCACTAGATATTGGTGTCTCTCTATCCACAGGGTTGACAAAAGAAACACTTGGAAATGCAGCATTTCTGTCATCTGTGGAACAATCGAAACGGAAAACTCCATCCTCCAGGATAGGCTCAAAAATCATATTCCCTGATCTCATATCACCAGTCACTGCTGTCCGCTCACATCCAGCCATCTGAGAGTAAACTAAGATTGCACCAAAAAATCTCTTATTTTCACCCTTTTTTCTACATTCCATGAGATAATATCAGAACATATTTCCAGGAAAACTTTGACAAATGGCTAAAATATCATTAAAACAAGAGATTTCATCATTAGATCAAACCTTCTCATCATGGGAAACTGATTACCAATCATTAAAACAGAAAATGATGACTTATATAATGATTACATGAATACCACAGGACAAAGGATTGCATTTTATCAATTGCATGCAGAAGAAATTTGCAGTAGAATCTGAGACTTCATTAAAGGAGAGCTGCTCATCTTTACTTAAGCCCGAGCGCTTACTCGATGCCGATGTCTTGCAATTTGTGAAATATTACAACACCTTACTCCCTTTTTAGAGGCCAAAGAATTCAAATTCAAAATCCCTTACTGTGATTGACCAAATTAGAGAAGTTAAAATCAATTCAAAGTACTTGACATGATTACCCTCAAATCATGACCAGGATCAGTTTACTTGTACCTGATCAATCCAACATAAAATAAACAGGTGAACTTAAAAGTATCTAAATGTTGAAACACTTGCACAAGAATAATGATCCAAAATTAATTCATTCACACATTCAAGTACTAAGAGTTTAGTCCATGAGTTTAGTCCATCAACCAAATCCATCTGAGTCTACGAATTTCCAAGAAATTTAAGGGTATAAAAATAAAAAAAGCAACTATCCATTTAACAAACTTAGATGCATATAATTAAACTGAAATCAACTAGATTCATGTTATGGAACTGACGAATCGGCATCAAATTTTATGGGAACAACTAACCTGTTTGAGTTTGAGAAGATGCCTAGGTGGAAGCAGCGCAAGAAGTTGGGTTTCCTCAGTGACCCATTTAAGATTCTTGCATTGGGACTCCAACTACATGCAGTAGAGAGCCCACAAGTGTACTGATTTTTTTGGGACAAGAACAATGGCCTACTTGCTTTAGTACTAAAAAAAGAAGTCCTTTTTCCATCTGGGATTTATTCCCCAATAAATAATTACACTCTGTATAATAATTAATTCACAAAGATTAATAGCTAAGGGGCAAACTTCTTAAATTGATAATGGACTAATTAGTAGTACCATAATGTTTTGTCGGGTTTAAAGATTCTTGCTGGTTGTTACAGCGAGTGGAGCTACGCGCGGAAAGATAACATTTTTATCAACCATTATGATTGTAAGTACATCTTTGGTTGGGCAAGTCAAGAGCGTTTGAGAAAGAGTCCCCCTGTTTGAGAACTCTGCAGACATCAAGACAAGGGAGGGAAAGTAACTACTCTTTCTTTCTGGTTCTAAAAAGTGCAGACTTCTTGTGGGACTGATAATGGCTTGTGCGACGCGTGGAGGTGTAGAGAAATATACGGGTGAGGGAAAGTTTAGAATGGACAATAAATGAGGGAATAAGGCAAAAATGCTAAAAAGTGCTATGGAAGTGGTAAGGTCCAGTTTCCGGAAGGGACAGGGCATACCATCGACGATTAGGGTAAGTAAATTCGGTTCTTATCGAATTCATAATCGATTTTAAATTTAATTCGGTAATTTGAAATCGAGTATTTGGTAATTTGGTACAAATTCAGTACATGCTGAATTCATCGAATTCTAATATGGTATAAAATAGGTAATGAGATAATGAATTTAATAATAATCGATTTCACATTCAAATTCGGTAATTGAAATCAGGTACCGCATTACCGCATTCGAATTACCAAATTGATATATAAAATTATATAATATATAGATAAATGCTATTTAGTATTAGTATATACTACTAATACTTTATTATATTATATAGGTAAATGCTATTAATAATAATTAGTATATGGTATTATCATCATATCATGTACTTATAATAATAATAATATTTAATAATGTACAATATATTCTTTTAGTATTTGTTAATTGTCATATGACTATAATAATACAAATATATAGTAATACATAACAATATAAGATAACTATAATACTTATTATTTTATACATGAGTAACATGACTAGAATTAGATAATAATTAATACATATATGTATAATACTAAATATTAAACAATAAACATAATTCATAATTAGAATTTAGATATTGGTAATTTGATATATCATTCATGTTTGAATTATTGAATATTTGAATGCGTAATCTGTAACTTGCAAGTATTAGTGTGTACTCTACATATTTAACATAAAAATTCATATTATCTATTCACTAATCTTAATTCTTAAGGCTTTAGCCTTTAAGTATAGATAAGACAACTAAACAGTTAGCAATGTAAGTGAATGCATATAAATTGCAAATCAATGTATTAGTTTATTGACTTTCACAATAACATATATAAGTAAATAAGTTTTATTTTGATTTGAAATAAATTATAAGTTTGTAACTAATATAACTTATCACTAATCATTGTAATTTGTAAGTTTGTAACTAATATTACTTATTATTAATCATTGTAAATTATGAATTCATAAATTATCACTAATCATTGTGTTCCTTAAATCATAGACTAAGGATTCTAGGTATAAGTTATCAAATAAGTTAAAATTCATATTATCTATTTACTAATCTTAAGGTTTTAAGTATAGACAAGACAACTAAACAGTATAAGTGAATGCATGTGAATTGCAAATCAATGTATTAATGTATTGACTTTCACAATAACATGTGTAAGTAAATAAGTTTTTATTTTGATTTGAAATAAATTATAAGTTTGTAACTAATATAACTTATCACTAATTATTGTAATTTGTAAGTTTGTAACTAATATTATTTATTATTAATCACTGTAAATTATAAATTCATTGTAACTACTAACTAATATTACTTATTATTAATCATTATAAATTATAAATTCATAAATTATCACCAATCATTGTATAGTCTAAGGTTTATTCTAGTTTAAATTAATAGATAAATTATTACTTTTTTTAATAGATGAATTCTGTTAAACCGAATTCATTACCGTTTTCGAATTTGAAATCGGTTACGGTATGAATTCGGTTATGGCTAATTCGGAATTGAAAACGGTTTAGATTTCTATAGGTAGAATAACCGAATTCACCGAATTCAGTGCACCGAATTACCGATTTTGCACCGAATGCACACCCCTATTTACGATATAAGTTCTAATTTATGGTTAACTACTTGTAAAATCTCATAAAGAAGATGTATTTATTATGCTGAGATGGATATAAATAGTGATAAAATATCACAATTCATTAAAACAATGCTGCGTATAAGGTTAAGATTTTCAACCATGAATACGTAATTGAAACAGACCTTATGCTCTCTTCTACTCTCACTTACGCTTGTTCTAATCATGAAATAATGCATAAACTTGTGAAGAGAGGAACTAAAAGCCTATTTATAGAGGTTTAAGTGACCTTTCCCATCATTAATTATTGATAAAAACTCATTGAATCTTTCTTCTTGATAAGATAAATCTTATCATGAATTACTTGTTTCAAAAATGTAAATAGTATAAAAAATGTATATACTTTATTTATGTGAATTTTTCCATATATGTAAAAGATAAGTTCATTAATCACTTAATTTAGATTGATAACTTTGATTATATATAATTCATTAATTAGGTACACGACTATGCATACATGTACTTAATTTGTCCTCTCGCACATGCGAGATGAAATATACAATGTTAGATTTGCTTGTGTATTACATTTATGTGGTCATGAAAGCCACCAAAACAAGTTATTAATGTAACATGTTATACTCTTTAGAACCATAACCATTCCTACCCTTTCCCTTACTAGATAGGACAGTAACGATAACACTGTTAAACAAAATTGTAATTTATTGTAAACTCATGCTTGTCATGAAGTGTTTATAGGTTTTTGGTTTAAATTTGGGTTGTGAGATATTTGACAAAACTTAATAATAATTAAAAATATGAAACAATTGTTCATGGATTTTGTATTTCTAGAGCTATTAATCAAGTCGAGTCGAGCCAAGTATTGGGCTGGTGAACTCGACTCGAACTTAGCTCGATTCTAGCTTAAGCTCACTCAACTACAAAAACGAGCCTTAAATTGGACTCGAACGACTCGTCAAGGGGATATGGGACTCGAGATCGAGCTCGTACTCGACTCGTTTACCACAAACGAGCGAGCTCGAGATCTAACTCACACGAGTTCGAATTTGAACTCGAAATTTCTGTCAAATAGTGAACAAATGCAAACAAATGCTACACCCTATCTAGAACCAGAATTCAACAAAACTTGACTCAACAAAACTTAACCAAATTCACAGTGATTCAACTGAGAGTCTAAGACAATATATAAGCCAAATACAATGCCATGACATCTAAGAATGCCAAATGCAATGCCAATTCCATCCGAGACAAACATACAAGGCCATAACATCCATAAAACACAAACTCCAAGAATCAAAATAAACAACTACACAAACTCCAACCAAATTCCATCGGAGACAACATCCATAAGACCAAGGATTTGATTCAACCGAACAAATACATAAACAAAAGCCAAATAACTATATAAAACAATGCTAGATAACTAAAAATTTATCTAGCTTCACAAACTTGTAGAAAGGTCCAGCTTCACAAATCCAGCTCCATAATCAATCACAAGAAAGTTTAATCTTTACACAAAAAAATTCAACAACAAACAGTATTACATATCCCAGAAAAGAGCCTTCAGATGTCTGGAAGAGCAATTTCTTCAATTGTAGATGATTCGGGAACATCAAGTGGTTCCTACAAAACGAAAACAAGAAAGTTACAACTCCTAACAAAGTAAAATGAGGTACCAAATAAACCGGTAGTAAAAGATATATTTTATTTACACGAGACTTTTTTTTTATCCATGAAAATTGAGGATCCAATCATTGCCACAAAGCAACATTTGCACCATTTCAACTGACATAGAAGCACGCCGATCATCGATTATTCTACTACCAGCACTGAAAGTAGATTCGGAGGCCGTGGTTGTAACTGGAATAGCGAGTACATCACTTGCCATCCTTGACATTACAGGAAACCTCCACCTTTCCCCTTTCCACCAATTCAAGACTTCAAGATTTGCATTTGCATTACAAACATGCCTGCCCTCTTCCAAATAGACATTTAAATCTGATTTTTCAAGTGGAGTCTTGTCAATTTCACTAACAATCATTTGAAATTTTTCTTTTTCAATTAGAACATTAAATCCAAGATTTTTAGCAGCCCCTTGTGTAGATTTACTTGTAATTTCTGCATGTTTTCGTTTTTCAACTTCCCTTTGTAGTTCCTCACCATGAGATGAGATGTAAGCATCCACATATTCATTATAGAGTTCATAAAAAATGCGCCTAATTTCATCAATATACCTAGGGGTTGTATCCTTGCCATAAATTACTCGAAAAGTATGATTAACAAGGACTATTTTATATCACGGATCAAGAATAGCACCCAAAGACATCAAAACAATACTTTTTCCTCAATACTTGTCAAATTTTTGTGCCATACTTTCAGCCATAGATCTAATATGATCAGAAAAATCAAGAGTTTTTTCATTTAATAGTTCCTTAATCCTATACAACTCAACAAGAAAAAGGTTAACAGTTGGGTAATCTGATCCAGAAATGATATTAATGATCTCATAAAAAATACCCAAAAATTTACAAATTTCTTCAACTTTCATCCACTCATACTCAGTTAGGACATAGTGAAACCCCGGATCAATGTCCCCATATCTTGGAAATACATCTCTAAACTCTAGAGCCGAAGCCAACATCAAATAGGTGTTGTTCCACCTAGTTGGGCAATCCAAAATAAGTTTTTTAGAATGCAATTAAAGCTGTTTTTTTTTTATTTTGGCAAAGTCATTGAAGCGAGACTCTGCATTTTTCAAATACTTAATCCCCTCTCGAACAACATCAATCACATCAATAATTTGATTCAGCCCATCTTGAATAAGCAAATTAAATGTATATGCACAACACCTAACATGAAAAATTTTTCCTTCAATGCTTAACCTTTTTCTAAGAGAAAAATCCTCTTTAACTC